TACAGTCTAATTGATCTGTTACATGATTACATCTGATATTTATATACCTAAACCAGTAGCTTCAGAGCTTCTCATCAACCGCACCCTCTTGCACGATTCGACAAACATTCTGTCAAGCAATCGTAACAAATTAACAACTTTCATCATGGAAAAATAACTAACTAAAAATCATGCCCGTTTCGTGAAGTATATTAGGTGGATGTCTAACTTTAGTCTTTAGATAATAACATAATCTGTTACACATTTTTCAAACAAGTAAAGCATTTCCGCATTTTATTCACCGAGCCCCCCTACATTTAGCTTATTCGACTCGTGCCTTTATCATGTACTCATACTGTATATCGAGTTCTGACTTTCAGTTACTCCTACACATGCATTCGGGCCGAAGGGAAACTCATAATCGCAAAAACCAAGAATGTAACGGGGCAAAACGAGAAACTCACTTCCAAGGAACATCTCCAACCAACATCCAATCCCCATCTCTGTCCTCATACGTCGGCACATATCGTGCAGCATTTGCACAATCCATGACTTTCTTCTCATTCATTACATCGCCTGCAATCGCAAAAAGGAAAACTACTGAAATTAATCATCAGTAACCCAAAACAAACAAAAACATGGTTTTAGGAGCTGTTAATTGCGCTTACGTGTGTTTAGGCACACAAACATATCCTCGAAAGCAGCTAATAAGTCCTTGTAGCCAGTGCAGCTTTCGAGATCGATTTTTCTAAGATATGGAGCTCCATCCACAGCCACCTTCACGAACTTGCAACCTTTCATCATGTTCTTTCTATATGATCCCACCGGTGGCCATCCCACAACCTGAGCCCTACAATACGAATTTTCACACGTTCGAAACACTTTAGCATTCGGCATTTAAGGAAAAATGTACAGAGTTTCTGGTAAATGTGTTAAACCCAAGAGTAATATTCAAAGTCACCCCTGCAAGATTACCTCTCTCTCTCTCTCTCTCTCTCTCTCTCTCACTCACTCTCTCTCTCTATCTCTCTCTCTCTCTAACACACACACACACACATTTCTCCGAAACAGAAATCAAAATCGAATTAAGAGCAGAAACAGTTGAACAAATGAAAATAGGCATACTTGGAAGAGGATTTATGTGTAACAACACTAGCATCAACCTCGGCGGTCGTACCCAGATCCAGATCAACGGTCTCGGCATAACCGCGCTTGGCGGGAGGCCTCGGCGCCTGTGCGGCGGCGCAGCCCGGCGGGGCCAAGCTGAGGTCCGTCTTCAGGCCGCCGTGATATTCCGAATCCGGAGAATAAATTCCGTTTTCCGGCGACATTAGCTTTTCCGTTGCTAAGATGTGAAGAAGAGTGGAGATATTTGAATGATTTGAGCTGCAGGCTTTTAAGAGTTCAGATTGAAATTATATATATAAGCAGAGTTTCTGTTTGGAAATTGATATTTGAAACGAGTTTCGATGCGAGGGAAGGTCGAACCGGATGACACCGGTTTTTATGGATCGATTTTTTTTTTTTATAAATGAATAGATTTGGAATTCAATGGGCTAGTTCCTAGTTACCTTCGTATAGTTCAACGGCCAAATAGATAATATAATCTTTATTTTGCAATTAAAACTGCAATTGAAATGAATATATAAATCTAATTTTTATACATAAAAGTAGATATACGTATTATTTATTTTTTTTGTGCGCCTTATACATAATGAAAACAAATTTTAATGATCTATTTTGTAAATTATAGATTATAATTCTATAACGATTGTTCTTGTTAGGTCGATCTAACTATTAATCATACATATTTTTACAAATGTTCATATTGTCATTAGTAATGTCATACTTTAAAAAATAACATAAACATATGTATGGCATTTGCTAGTTTAATTAGTATGTAGTTTTATGCAAATAGTATAACATATCGATTCGCCTAATGGTTAGGTTGACTGAGACAATAAATTTTGATTATATATTTGTAATGGTTAAGCTGACTGAGACAAAGAGATTGTGATTATACATTTGTGCAATCATTAATAGGTCAACTATATTTTTTTAATAGATGTGCATAGAAGTGTAAATGAGCCGAGTCCACCTCAAGCCGTTAATGAGTCTGTAATCAATCTCAAATTCGGTCGACTAGTTTATTAACATTATCGAGTCAACTTATAGAAACTTGCATAAAAATTCTTATTTGGAGCCTTAACGAGTCCAGACCAGCTCGTTAATTAAACTAGCTTTCAACAAGCTCAACTCTTTTATCAAATGAGTCGAGTTGATCACAAGTATTAACAAATCGAACTCATGAATGGCTCGTTTCGTTCGACAGGTCGTCTCGCATGTATACTTTTAAATTGAAATGTCATATTTTTAAAAATACCATAAACAAATATATATATAACGTCATATCTTAAATATGTAATTTTATTAATAAAAATATAACGGATTAATTCACTTAATTAATAATTAAGCTAACAAAAATATAATCTCTTTAATATCATGTATACATTATGTATGGCTTCACCACATTCAATAGACATATCCCAATTAGGGA